TCTCTCTCTCTGTCTCTCTCTCTCTGTGTCTCTCTCTGTATCTGTGTCTGTGTCTCTCTCCCTGTCTCTCTCTGGGTCTCTCTCTGTCTCTGTCTCTCTGTGTGTGTGTCTCTCTCTGTCTCTCTCTCTGTGTGTTAATGATCAGCTGCCCCTCCACAGGCTGCAGTGATGAACTTTGACCCGGAAGTGCACCGCTGCAGTCGCCCCTCAGTGTACGGCTGTCCTCCTTCGGTCCCTGGACCTGTGGACCGGAGCGTCTCAGCCTCTGGAGGAACCGGCGGGATGGATCTCAAAGCGGCTTCACCGGTAAAAAGAACCGAGCGACTCGCTGCTCGTCTTCCAACCGCAGGGCCCGACACCGGAGCGGTTAGTGAGCTAACTGTGCTAAAGCTAACTGAGCTAGCCTCAGGCTAACCGAGGAAAGACGAGGTTACTGATGACGTCATAGTAATACAAATTCTAAATATTCAGTTAAAAAGTAAATTCAGATTAAACCAGAGTCGATCCGGATCAGTTGATGTGACTATCTGAAGATGACTCGGGTCAGTTTGATAAATAAGATCTGAAACGGTTTTTTTCCAGGACGCAGCTGAAGAGTTTGGAAATGTTGAAATCAAAAGTGAACCGGAAGCAGACGTGGAGATCCAGTCCTATCCCGTCCTGAAGAACCTGCTCGTCAAACTGACGGACTGTAGGATGTGGCTGGAGGGGCGGGACTTCCTGTCTCTGGGTAACTAACCCTCAAACATTTTGATTTTCCTGCAGCCGAGTTTGAATTAATCGTTGCATCTTTATAACTCGGGTATTGTGTCGACAGTGGAATGAAAACTGTCCTGTTCATGTAGCTGTCATCATGAAATAACTTGAGTCTTCTTGAAGGAGCAGTAACTTGACTTCTGACCTTTCCAACAGACGATCACCCTGAGCTCTGTGACCACAGACCCAGCCAGCACTGCTCAACGATTACCGGCAGCAGGAAGATGGTCTACTGCTCCGAGTGTACCAGAGGTTTCTATAAGAAGTCTCACCTGGAGGCTCACCTGAGGATTCACGGAGGACTGAAACCCAATGAGTGCTGGCAGTGTGGGAAAACCTACCCGACCCTGATGAGCCTTGTCATCCATCAGCATATCCACAATCGCAAGGAACTGTACCAGTGCTCGTACTGTGACCAGACCTTCGCTCTGAAGAGGGACTGGAAGACCCACCACAGGACACACTCCGGGACCAAACCCTTCAAATGCTGGTTCTGTGGGGACGGCTTCGACGAGCGGGAAGAGCTCACTGAGCACCTGGAGTTGCACAAGGGGGAGAAGTGTTACCACTGTAATGTCTGCGACAAGATGTTCATCTCTTACCAGGGTTTCAACTTCCACCGCAAATCGCACAAGAACCAGAAGCTGCTGTCCTGCCCCAAATGCATTAAGACGTTCAGCAACCCTCAGAGTCTGAAGCTCCACCAGGTGACTCACTCCAACAGGAAGCCACATAAATGCCCCACGTGTGGTAAAGGCTTCAAGCTGCAGAGCGGCCTGCACTGCCACCAGAGGACCCACGAGGACCTCAGGGCCTACCACTGCACCGAGTGTGGCAAATGTTTCTCCAGCCTCCAGGGTCTGAAACTGCACAACCGCACCCACACTGGACTGAAGCCCTATAAGTGCACCGAGTGTGGGAAGAGGTTCACCCAGTCCCCCCACCTCAAGTCTCACATGGTCACACATACTGGAGAGCGGCCATTTCTGTGCATCACCTGCGGCAAGAGATTCACTCAGTCGTCTCACCTGAAGTCCCACAACAAGCTGTTCCACATTGGTGAGAAGCCGTTCTCCTGTGACGACTGCGGAAAGAGCTTCACCATTGCTCACTACTTGAAGATGCACAGACTGAGCCACACCAAAGAAAAGCTGTATCATTGCTCGTACTGCGAGAAGTCCTTCTCCTACCACAACTCCTGGAGGGCCCATGAGAGGATCCACACCGGCGAGCGCCCGTTCACCTGCCAGGACTGTGGCCAGAGCTTCATCACGTCAGGCTCGCTGCTGAGCCACCAGAGATCCAAACACACTGGAGAGAAGAACCACTATTGCATCACCTGCGGAGAGTTCTTCTTCACCAGCTCGCTGCTGCGGGTCCACCAGCTCAACCACACGGGCGAGCGGCCGCATGCCTGCATCTGTGGCAAAACCTTTAAAACTAAAGGAGTGCTGCGCTACCACCTGAAGAGGTTCACCGACCACAGGCCTACTGGATGAACGGCCGTTTGGAAAATATCTGGATTTTTGAGAACACAAATGATGCAGGTCTGAGACTGAGGGAAGAGACAGGTGCATGCAGGTGTAATGCAACTGGAGGTTAGTTACTGTAGTTTTCCAGCAGGTGGTGCTGCAGTGACAGATCATGAAGATGCTTTAAAACACTAACACATTGATGCCATTTCAGTCAAAACTCCAACCTGTTGATTTGACTCAGTGTGACATCACTGCCTGATTCTATTCAGCTGCTTTTATTTCCATGGTGGACGATGATCACAGACAGATCAACAATATGTCTCCTCAGATACTTCCTGACAGTAACTCCTCTCTTCATTCACCTTCCATCAAGCTTCTAACTGTTTCCTCTAACCAGTGCTGGAGCTACTCTTCTGTGTCTGACGTTCTCAGTTACACGTGGCGTCTACTGCACTTGTGTCCGTCCTGGGAGACGGGTCCTCACGTGTCTCTGAGGTCTCTACGTTCTTTTCCCTGTTGAAAGGTTTTTTAGTAGTTTTACTCTTGAGTTAAGAACCGATGAGGTCACAGCTCGTTAACCCTATGAGACAAACTGTGATTTGTGAATATGAGCTGTACAAACAACATTTGATTGATTGATTTTGAAAAGGAGCCGATCGGTCAATTCAGCTGCAAATTCTTAAAAAATGATTCGTTTCTTGCACTCACTGGTTTTTTCTCTTGTTTGTTAATCTTTGAATCCAAAGCTGCGTTTACAGATTTATTTTTTTCCTAAAACGAGTGAATAAGATGATCATTAAAAAAACGTGCATGTTTACTGATGATCACTATGGAATCATTTAAAGAAAGAAGAAACGAAGCACCAAGAATCTGCAGCTGCAGAAACATGTCTGAACCAACTGCACATGTGAACATCACGTTAGGATGAGGAAAAACTTCAGTTGTTTGAACGTTAGTCAGTTCGATCCTGAAGGAGCAGCTTCATTTCACTCACTTTGTTCCCCCTCTGTGTGTTTGCCAGATCATTGATGAATCAAACATGTATGAAGCACTTTGTTATTTTATAGACTGAAAGTGCAGAACTCAATCAGGTTTCTGTGTAATCCACATTTGTGGCTCCATAACATTCAGAGGTCACTATGCGTCTCAATGAAAATACTGATTTGATTGGTCGACAGGTGGCACAGACTTTACAGGTGTTGGAGGTTCACATGTTCGGTTCAAACCAAGTGGGAGGAGCTCAATCTAAAATCCTGAATGTAAACCATGAAGGTTCTGGACATGAAGACCAGACAGGACTCCGCTCATGTTACCTGGACAAACACTAACAACTTGTACTAATTGGTTGTTTGACTGAAATTCAGGAAGTCAATCATCTTTTCATTGTCCTGATTTTGAAGTAGTGTGACTACAGCCAATCAGTAGCAGAGCAGCAGCGAGACCAACAATGACTCCAGCATGGACCGAAGGGTGAAAGGTGGACTGGTAGTTGGATAGGTGCCAGTTTGCCTAGGCACTACCTGTGTGCCCTTGAGCAAGGCACCGAACCCCCCAATTGCTCCCCCGGAGCCTTCATGGCTGCCTACTGTTCCGTGTGGTCACTGTGTGTATTGTGTTCTGTGTGTGCTGTGTTCACACGGATGGGTTAAATGCAGAGGTCATAGTTCCCCATGTTGCATGAAGTGCTGTGTGTGCATGATTGTGGGACAATAAAAATCAGAATCAGAAGTTTTATTAATCCCAGTAGGAATCTTTAGGATTTGAAACACCACATTTAGGAACCGTCCTTGTCGACTTTGGTCTGGTCCTGGTTCTCTGGAGACTTTTTAATGACACCAGCTGCTTTGTTTCTCAGATTTGAACCAATGATACAGTTTTTGAGGCTGGTGTGCCTCCATACACAATCATCCATCTGTGTCATCCTGTTCTTCTCTTTCACAATAAAAGTTCAAACCTGTACCGAGGATATTGGTTTGTTCTTCAGTAGTATTGTAGCTTCAGTGTCTCTGTTGAATCCAGGATCAGAACGTGAACAGAAACTGGTCGATGAAATGAAAGCCATCTCAGTATGAAGACTATGATCGTTAAATACAATTATGAATGATTATAACCAATAGACAGAAATAATTGCAATATATCAGTGAATGTAATGAAATAATGACAGAAGATTCTGCAGGATATTTTTAAATCAATATTTTCATTCATCGAAAAGAAACTAAACGGAAACTTTGAAATCTTCGGATTTATAATAACCGTTTCTCCGCTGCTTTTATTTTGAAGGCAACGAGACCTCGTGACCCTTCTGACGTCCGGCCACGATGACGTAATCAGTAAGATGGCGGCCTCCTGTGTGCGTCGTGCTCTGGGTCTGACCCTGATCAGGTCCAGATGTTCAGCAGCTGGAGGCAGGTGAGCGAGAGTCAGACTCACCTGGACAACAGGTGAACACACCTGAAAGTGTCCTTGGGCAAGATGCTGAACCCCGAATGGCCCCTCAGAGAACAACAATAGAAAAGTGCTCCTCTAGATGCACTGT